ACAAATATTTTGAATTTGAGCTATATCTTTGTTGTTGGACAGCACTGTTTTTATGAACTTTGCATTTTCTTTTTGTAACAGAAATAGCTAGGCAAGCAGCACAAATAAAGCTACTGAGAAAACTCCAGAAGCAGGAACAAGCTCGAGCTGCCAAAGAAGCGAAAAAACAGCAGGGTAAGTATTACTTGTGAAAGTTTCTGCATGTTAGCAGATTATTTTGAAAAGTATTAATGAAAATTTTCTTGTTTCTTGTTGTGTTCTGCTGACACTAATTTTTTGTTTGCTTTTGTTTGTTAGCTATAATGGCAGCTGAGGAAAAGCGAAAGCAAAAGGAGCAGATAAAGATAATGAAGCAGCAGGTAAACTTTATGTAATTGCTAAATAACCTCTTTAAATTATGCTTTCAATTATTGAATTAGGAGTAGTTTAATCAATCAGTAAATGAAGTATACTGATTACAAGGTGAATGTTTTAAATCTAACGAGCACACTGTATATAATTTAAACTTTTAAACTTTACAGTTGTTCATGTTGTCAGGGCATCCCAATTTTGCTTGTGTTGATTTAAGCCACCCAATATGTGTAATTGCTTGCCAATATCAGTAAGAAAGTAAAAAGCTGCTACTAAAGTATGGTGATCCAATCTTCCTTTAATTGGTTCCATGAAAACACTGGAATAGTATAATTAACTTCTTTAGTGGTTCTAGCTGGCTGTTAGTGATTTTAGGTTGTGTTCGAAGGGTTGTATCTCAGAATGCCAGTGAATTAATACACGTTTTTGAACATACAAGGATTGTTAAATACTATCATAGCAAATAGTTGCAATAAAAGTGAGCCTATATACATTTTACCAAATTAAGGTACTTACGGAAGTAGGTTTTAAAAATTTTTATTAACTGATTTTACCAAATTAGTGAAAAGTTTTGTATGTTGGGAATCTAAAAATTTTTGAAAGGGAATAATCTGCATCGAAAAATATATTTGTGTGGCTGGTTTTTTGTTCTGTTCAGTATGAAACTGACTGCAAAGTTCAGAAATTAAATACTTCATCTGGTAGCAGTCAAAGGACACGTTTTTTAGCTTTCAGTGAAAAGACACTTTTTGTGTTCAGTACCATTATTGCATTTGTTTTTTACCCTCTTACAGTGGCAGAAAACAAATATATGGAACCTTAGAAAAGTAGAAAAAGTTGACTTTGGTAGGCCAATTCAGCCTGTACTCGTGTTGAATTAGTATGTGTAGGCATAGTACAGGTTGCACATTTAATTTTTTTACAAAAGAATGTCGAAGTATGGTTTGAATTAACTGTTTCATGTTCAGTGTTTGTATTCTAATTATATTAGTATTTACAGAGGCTTGGATTAAAGGGATATATGTAGATGGAAAGGATGAACATTTATTATTAAAACTAGTAATTTTTATTTGTGATAGAAACTTTTGCTGAAATTTACATAAAATCCTATAAATATTTGCACTTGATGATTATGTTACTTTGTAAGGAAATGTGTATTTTTAGCTCTAAAAAAAAATTTAAACTTCGACAAGGGAAGAGAGGATTCCAGGATTGACTTCCACTGTATTCACTTCATCACCTTCTCTGGATGTTTCATTAACTTTCTGATTTAAAATACCTCATGCCTTTCATACAGGATAAAGCTGAAGTCTGTTGCAGGAAAAATGTTTCTTCAGTGGTGCAGTGTCCTCACTGTAATCTCAAGACTGGTTTGTGTTCAGTTGTGTTTTTCTAAAGATGGTTTAGTTATTTTTTTGATCTCTCATTACACCTTTTCAACCTGTTGTGTTATGCTCTGTTGAGTAATTTTATTTTTGAGCTAAGTTGCATTTAGATGTCTTTAGAAGCTTCACATTTACCAGTCAGATTCAGAAATTAGCAAATCAAAACATGTCTGTATTAGATTTTTTTTAAATATCAGAGAACAATTAATTAGGATGAAATAATAGAATCATAGAATCATTTAGGTTGGAAAGACCTTTAAGATTGAGTCTAAACCGTAAACCTAACACTACCAAGTCCACCTCTAAACCATGTCGCTAAGACATGGTTTGAATGGCAAAAGACATCTACACATCTTTTAAATACCTCCAGGGATGGTGACTCCATCACTGCCCTGGGCAGCCCAGGCCAGTGCTTTACAAACCTTTCAGCAAAGAAATTCTTCCTCACGTCCCATCTCAACTGCCCTGGCCACAACTGGAGCCCATTTCCTCTTGTCCTGTCCCTTGTTCCTTGCTTGAACAGACCCACCCCCACCTCTCCCCACCCTCCTCCAAGGGACTTGGACAGAGCCACAAGGTCTCCCCTCAGCCTCCTTTTCTCCAGGCTCAACCCCCCCAGTTCCCTCAGCCACAAGGGAACTCAGCACACTTGTGCTCCAGACCCTTCCCCAGCTCCGTTCCCTTCTCTGGACACGCTCCAGCACCTCAGGTCTTTGTATTGTCTCATCATCCCAGCACTTCGAAATAGTACTAGAAAATCAGATCCCTGATTATTTCATTTTTCTCTGTAAGTGGCATCCTGAGCTGTTAAAAAAGCTAATGTAAAGGCCTTCTAAATCTGTGAAATCCAGATATTAAAAGCTAAGATACTTTATTTAAAAAAAACAAACAACAAACCACAACACAGGAGGTTCCATCTGAACATCAGGAAACACTTTGTCACCATGACAGTGACTGAGAACTGTAACAGGGGGCTCAGGGAGGCTGGTGGTCTCCTACTTGAGAGCTTTTCAACAGCTGTCTGGACATGGGCCTGAGTATCTGACTCTAGGTGACCGCTCTGGAGCAAGGGGGTTTCAACAAGGTGCACCTCCAGAGATCCCTTCCAACCTCAGCCATTCTGAACTTCTGTAAATAGTGATAGCTTTGAAGTTTCCACTTCTGAAGGCAACCCATAATTGTTAAAGAATAGCAAATAATGTGAGGTTTTTGCTTTTTGTTAGTTGTTTTTTTTTTTTTTTCTTAAGAGCATTGGACTTGTATCCATTCATATCATCCTGTGATTGTAAGGCAGTCCTTACATTGTTAGGTGTGCAGGGAGCAAGATTTGCTTAATAGGTGAATACGTCAGATCTAGACCTCGTTTATCATCACCATATTCCTTCTAGATTTATAAAGTGATTTCACTACTACAATGTGTAGATTACTACTTTTCTTCGCTGAGATATTTCTTTACTCTGATGTTTGCTGAAAAGTTTGCTCTGTTATAATTCTAGTCTTTGTGGAATTGAGAGAGTATAGTACATACTCTTAACTTCTGTACAGTTCTATTTGTAAAGTATAAAGGGGGATAATAGAGACTGAAGGTCCATGCTGTGAGCTTTGCGTGGTGAAAATAAAAATTCAACACTTATAAATAAGGCCTCCAGGTTAATTTGCTGAAGAAGTCTTATGCTGGACTTGTAAGATTTTCCTGAAGTTTGTGAGACTTCATGAGGTCTTCTTGTATTGGAGCTATATTCCTCAGGAAATTTTGTATTATCTTTCTCTTCTGTGATTGTTCCTTTTCTGTTAAATATTTTAGATTATCTTTTCTTAGGGGCTTGGTTAGTTATTTTTCAATAAAGGATATACATTACTATGTTTTCACTAGAGTCTCAGACCAGCTCACAAGAAAACACTGTCTTCTGTACAGATAGGCTTTCACTGTTGGGAAAACACTTTCTGTTCAAGAGAAGAACATTGAGCTCCATTTCAGGCGTCTTGATTCAGGCCTCCCAGCTTGCAGGGCTTTTCCATGGTCGGAGTTTTGCTGTAAAAACTTTACAGCAGGTTTAGCTGAATGTATTGCAACACTCCTCTTAGTGGTCACTGTGGCTCAAGCAGCTCTTTTGAGATAGTAAAACCTCAACTAATGTGCTAAGAAATTTTTAATATGATCTTGGGTTGTTTCTATTTAGCAGACAAAACCCGTGCAGCGCAGGAAATGTGAACTAATCCCAAAGTTGGCAATAATTGCATTTCTAAATCAATGTAATAAGACTTTACTCAGATTTTAAGAAGTAATTCCTGAAAAACAGTAAATTAGAATATGGTTATACACTATCCATCTGTGGAATGCTTAGCTTGATCATTTTCTTCTTACTGTGATGAAACATACTGAAATCTGTTGTGCTGCCTGTGGCGCTGTTTCAGTTACTTTTTTTGTTATTTCACTCCTCAGCATGTATAAAACTCAGTCCCCTAAACTATGTATTAAGGCATCCAAAGTCATCAATTGCCTGAATGCTTTAAAAATCTGGAGAAATGGAAGTGCTCTTAACTGTGCATGTATTATCCAGGTTGCATGTGGGTGACTATTACTTGCTGACAGGGTATGTGCTTTGGGTTTCACAGTACTGAGATCCTCCATGTTGCCTGTGGTACCATAATGAACTGAAATGCTTCTGGAAACAAGGCAGAAAACAGTGGTTTGAGAGAACAATATATTTCTTATTATAGGGAGATCATATCAAAACATCATATTTTTCGTATCGTTGCTCCCCTTTCCATTCATTCCTGAATAACTCCACCATTTCCAGCTAGAATTTAAATGCTGCTATTCTACTTATATTGTCATTAACCTGGTCCCCTTAAAGCTGTTAAAAAAATATACTAGGAAAACTTAAACATGAGCACCTATTCTTAACTAAGTGTTGGTTCATTCAGGGAAATACCAGACACCTTCTAATTCTAGTAAAAATTCTGAGCATATGTTGTTATATGGGAACAATTGACTGCAATGGTTGTGAGACTATAGCAAAAAGTATATATGTATAAACTTGGTCATTTTTTAAAATGTAAAAGTAAATGTACTTTTTCAATATTGGTTGGGTTTTGGTTTTTTTTTTAAAAAAAGAAATAACTTTCTTCCTCTTGTAGGAAAAAATTAAGCGAATCCAGCAAATCAGAATGGAGAAAGAACTTCGAGCTCAGCAAATTTTAGAGGTAATGATAATTTCTGAAATAAAATTTTTGTGTTGCCATTTTAAATAATGTTGTATTTAATAGTCGCACATACATTTAGGAATGTAACTAAATGCTCTAATAACCTGGGCTTCCAAAGGCCAGTTAAAAAACATGTCTTAAAATACATTTTTTTTATATATATATATGAATGGATATATAATGGTAGAATACACTAGTATACTAGTTTGCTAGTATATAAGCAAAGATAGATTGCCAGTTTTCAAGTCTCCCTTTGTGGAAAAATTAATGGTAGTCTCTTTGGCATTTATATTTTATTGTTTCTGTGTATACTTACTTTCTTATAATAGCCAAGTGAAGCAATTTTGAGTGAGACTTGAAATTCTGGCTTAATTTTTAAAAAGTAAATGAATTGTGAATTGATTGTTTATTAAAGCTCCATTGGGGAAGAAATCTGTTTCCATGTACTCAATATGTGGTGATGTTTTGAACTTCTAAAGGCATGTAAATTTATTCCTAGTCAGATTATTTTCAAGTTGTGATGATGCTGTTGTGTGACCTGTTTTGCATGCACAGGCAAAAAAGAAAAAGAAGGAAGAAGCAGCAAATGCCAAATTATTGGAGGCCGAAAAACGAATAAAGGTTAGTTTAGAGGAGCTCCAAAAACAAGTGTGTTGTTATACATACTATATGTTGATGTATAAAAGCAGTAAATTTGGAAGAATATTAATTGATAATGAAACTGTAAATGGAGACGGCACATGAAGAATGTGTGTACATATTTTTATAGAAATACGTGACGCGTACACAGAAGTTTGTGTATATGTGACATACACACATACATTCATACACACCCACATGAATATACAGGGAGACAGTAATTTTTTTGTGCCACTGCCATGAGTGTTGCTTATGATACGCTTGGTTTGCACAACTTAAAAAGCTTCTGCAGTAACATTATTCGCAGTATTCTTTTAAGCACACTGTATCTGCACACTGTATTTGTATCAGAAACAGGGTGGCCAGCAGGACTAGGGAGGTGATCGTCCCCCTGCGCTGGGCACTGGTGAGGCTGCAGCTCAAGTGCTGGGTTCAGTGTTGGGCCCCTGAGTCCAAGAAGGACATGGAGGTGCTGGAGCGTGTCCAGAGAAGGGAACGGAGCTGGGGAAGGGTCTGGAGCACAAGTGTGCTGAGTTCCCTTGTGGCTGAGGGAACTGGGGTTGGACCGCATGATCTTAGAGGCCTTTTCCAACCTTAATGATTCTGTGATTCTGAGTGGTATTGATCTGCGGAATCAAATCTTACAGTATATGCTTATCAGTATAAAAAGATCTTTGCTTCTCAACAGCATAGTCTTTTCTAGGCTGTATGTATACAAGAGTACAGAAGTCTTTTACAGAGAGAAAATACAGTTTATATGTGCACTTCTAGTATTGCCTTGGCATTCTTGGTGTATTTTAACATGGAACTTTCAACCCAGTAGACTTGCTGTCATGTATATGATGTATACTTCTCTGTGGTCAGTTTATAGGAGGTGGGGAAATAAGAGTTTAATACAGATGTGCTGTTTTAGTTTTGCAGAAATTTGCAACTTGGTAAGTACATTTTGATAGATATTTTAACTACATTTGTGTTCTTTTGTTTAAGGAAAAAGAGATGCGAAGGCAGCAAGCTGTTCTTCTGAAACACCAGGTTGGTATACATTCAGTTGACCAAAGAGACAGAATGCCAGTTGTGAACTACTACCTAAGCTATATGGGGTGGGGGTGGGAATCTTCAAAATATGCCCTTTTAAAATATCTGGGTTTTATTTCTGCACAGATTTTCTTTCACCTTATGATATGTTGCTTTGCTTTGGTGTTGGGGTCTTTTGGGGGATTATAAAGTGGTTTTATGACTCTTGTGATTTCTGTTTCATAATGTTGTGCCAACTCTTTCTACCAGGAGTTGGAGAGGCATAGACTAGATATGGTATGGGTATGTTTATTTTTGTACATCTAACACCGCATTGTGATTTGGTTGTGATATGGTTGTCATAGCAATGCATAAAATGTAGCACTGGCTGCTGTCATATTACATACTGCTGCATGGCTTTACAGCACAGTGCATTGCATACATCTGCTTGTCTTGTCTGTTAAGGGGGAAAAAAAAAGACATGTCTTAAACATGTTTATAAATTTAACATGGCAATAACTAAATGAGGTTTTTAACCAGAAGTCTAAGTTACTGATGGAGCAATAGAAATTTGACTACTGTATAAAATCAGGGATTAATTAGTGCAAAATTCATAGGTAGTCACTTGGATAATTTTTACAAGCTGTGTCCCATTCACTGGGAATGAATCCAGACATTTTAAATACGATTTGAATTAATCTGTTTTAGAAATTGGGATTATATCTTTCCTAAGTTTGGAAGGTACTGAGGAAACAGTAAGTGATAAATACATAATAAGTATACAGTGAAACATCAGAATGTAATCCTAGCCTCACTGAATTAGATGATAAAATTCCCATAGCCTTTACTGGGGCCAAGATTCACTCTACACTTTTAAGGCAAAAAGCCCCATACTTAATGCTCTAGAGTACAGATCCTTAATGCATTTGAAGTTACTGACATAATTTATTGAGGGACAGGCATCAGTAAATGCAAGTGTCGTTGCGTGTGTGTATGTGCCACCACTAATTTGATTAAAACTGATCTAGAGCTGAGAAGATTAATCCTATTGATCTGTTGTTTGGGTACAAAAGCGTTAATATTTGCAATGTTTGAAAATGACTATTGGAGAATTAAATTGCAAATTCTGTAATAGCAGATGTAAGGTAACTGACCTGTTCCAGCCAACCATTATGCTTTTTGTTCTGCCAGCTTATGAAGGAGCATCACAACTGACCATAAGTAAATCTGTATGCTTCTTTTTTACACTGTCTCCATGTTCATTGCTTTACCTTTTTGCTTTTGATTGTTCTTGTATTTGCTTTCTAAACCTGAACTAAAACATGCACAGACTTGGCCATTCTTGTCCTATATTTAGTATTTACTGTGACTTGTCTATTAATGCTAAATTTGTTACTCAGCTTTTTTACTGATTTGAAAATATGGATTAGTTTTGTTCTAATCTTACCTGCTTCAATAGGAACGAGAAAGGAGAAGACAACATATGATGCTTATGAAAGCCATGGAAGCACGTAAAAAAGCAGAAGTGAGTATTAACTTTTTAAAGTTAGATTTTTTTCGTGGTTTCATTCTGCAGTGATCTGTAGAAGAGAAACAGGATATTAATGATTTTTTGATTTTCAGATTGCGTGTTAAGTGTATGGTAATTCAAGGGCAGAAGCTATGTGTGTTGAAAAGACTGGTTGTGTTTTATAATCTATTCATACCCACTTTGTGTTACGGGAATTTTTAAACCATGTGGTGTCCAGAGAGATCTTCCCAACTACTGCTTTCATGAGTGGTCTCTGCTTTAGCAGATGCATATTGATGATACTAGTGTGTAAGCGGGGCCTTTGAAATCAGATACCTTGCACCTATGGCAGTTCTTTACCATATTTTCACTCAGTCATCTTCCTGAAATGGTACTCCAGTGAATCTTTTCAGTGTAGACATACTCAATATCTTTTTCCATATGGACAGGAGAGGAAAAATAGCGTATCTTAGATTTGCTCACAAATTTGATGATTTTGTTCCATTTCTGTACTTTCCCCCTTCCCTTTACTTGCATGCATGTTCCTTAATTGCTGTGGTAATTACTAAGATTACATAAGTAGTGCTTTTCAAATTCTTAGATTGTTCCATTGGAGACATAATATGTGGGTTTTATTTTCTGCCCTTTTAATTCTATTTAAGGAAAAAGAGCGGCTCAAGCAAGAGAAGCGTGATGAAAAAAGATTAAATAAAGAACGTAAACTGGAACAGCGAAGATTGGAATTAGAAATGGCAAAGGAGCTAAAGAAGCCTAATGAAGATATGTGCTTAGCAGACCAGAAGGTAATCATAATAATGTAAACTTATTTTATTGCCTCTTGTTTCTGTATTTTGCTGTTGTGACAATAACTTTTTTCCTTGCAGCCACTCCCAAAGCATTCAAGTTCTAGTCTAGATAATTGGATAACTATTTGAAATATATGCAAATACAAGATCCTACAAGCACTTAAGTAGCATCTGCTTAGTATATTAAAAGCATTTGGGTTATAAGCGGCCTGCTTCCCAAAAAGCACTTGCATGATTGCTTAAAAAAAAAAATCAATTTCTCTGAGTTATTTTTATAGCAGGTGTATGCATCATGTCTCAGTACACAGCCACTAAGATAGAGCTTTTCTCACATGTGCAACTATTCTAAGCTGTTACTCAAAAGATTTACTCTCCCAGTCTTCTGTGTTCTTAGTTCTCATCCTTCAGGAGTTGATATACCTCAGGCTCAAGCTCTCTCTGTTCCAGAAAATTCCCCTCACTCTGTCCCCCAATTATTTTTACACCACCTTTTATAGTATTTTGGCTCAGACTAGAGCTTGAGAGCGTCTCCTGGCCAAAAAGTATTTGTTAATCTCTTGCCTCGTATAATGTGTGAAAAGGTAAACGTGCTTCAGCTTTAAATTAAATTTACTGGATAAGATGTTGGGGGGTAACTTCTCTGTAGTTTTTACCTTCTAGCATTGTCATGCTGTGGGTTGTATGGAAGTATCAGCCAATTTCCCTAGCTAGTTATTAAAAAAAGTTTTCCTTTGAAATATACTACTGAATCTTTTGAGATATACTACTGAATCTTTTGAGATATACTACTGAAAACAATTTCATTGTTTTTCTTCACTTTTCAGCCTTTGCCAGAGTTGCCTCGCATCCCAGGTCTTGTTCTCGACGGAAGCACATTTTCAGATTGTCTCATGGTAGTGCAGTTCCTGCGTAACTTTGGTAAAGTTCTTGGCTTTGATTTGAATGTGGATGTCCCTTCCCTGAGCGTTCTTCAAGAGGGTTTGCTAAACATAGGGGACAGCATGGGAGAAGTACAAGACTTGCTTGTAAAGCTTGTCTCCGCAGCTGTTTGTGATCCAGGACTTGTTACAGGATACAAGGTAAAAAAGGAGACAAACCCCTTCCCCCATAGTAAACACCCTATATTTATGAACACATTCTTCATAATGCACCTTTGACAACTCTTTGATTTTCCATTTCTCTTTGGTGTCACTGTTGTAGTGTTACTCTAAGATTTTCTTGCCCTGTCAACCTTCCCATTTTCTAGAGGTGATAGATTTCTGGGCGTTTTCTCTCCCCCCCCCCCCCCCCCCGCCCTGGTTTTTATTTGGGCCTCTTGTAGGGCACTGTCACATCTCTAGCCACATTTCACTCTTTTTTATCCCCCTTTCATTCTTACCCTCATGTTACACTCTCAGTGAGTCTTATTTCTTTCTCAGTGTCTGCTCTCAATATCACTTCATCAAAATTCTGGTTCATTTATGATTTTCTTTCTTATTATCCTTCTTTTTCAAGCCAACATAGCTCTTTTCTACTCTAGAACTCTATATAGAATGATTGTACAAAACAGTATTCACCACGTTCTACTTGGACCATGTCTTTTTCATTTAACCTATTTCATTAATATTAATATTATCTCTGTTCTTAAAATTTAGAGGTGAAGATATTCTAATTTGTTACTCTCTTCAAGATTTACATTTGAATAGTTTTAAAGAAAAGTCCTGATTAAAGGCTTTATGTAAAAAATGCAAACAAACCCTCCCTATTGTAAACAATAATATAGCCTGCAGAGGAAAATAATATTTTTAAATGAGATTTTTTGAAATGTCTATTTTTTTTTTAGGCTAAAACTATACTTGGGGAACACTTACTGAATGTTGGTATCAATCGAGATAACGTGTCCGAGATTCTGCAGATATTCATGGAGGCTCACTGTGGGCAAACTGAGCTGACAGAGAGCTTGAAGACAAAAGCTTTTCAGGCACATACTCCAGCTCAGAAAGCATCAGTGCTTGCTTTTCTTGTCAATGAGTTAGCATGCAGCAAAAGTGTAGTAAGGTAAGATTTTTCCCAAATAGGTCTATAAAAATAAAACTGTAAGAATGCTGTAGTTCAGAAGAACTGTATACACTTGTGCTCTGTTACAGGAGGATGCTTGGTGTTTTTACAATGAAAGCTGAAATTTGCTATATTACTGCTTCTTACCTTTATGTACTTCTGATATGATGGAAGAGTGGAACTTTTCCATGTTTAGTCTTTAAGTTTGTTTTCAAAGCTTGCACCAAAATTTTTCCAGCTATTTTTGGAGTAAAAGGTGATGCTGATTACAAAGAAATGTACTAGGTACTCCGGGAATAATTTAGAAGAGTTGTATCAGGCTTCTGCAGTACTCTGTTTTCCCCTTTTTTTTTTTGTTTTTATAATACCTCTTTTGTCCAAATACTTTAACTAGGGTCATAAGCTGAGGTGTCAAGCCTGATTCATTATGGTAGTAACTCAAGAAAGTGTATACTTCATTTGTGTATATAGCATTTCATAGTTTAAAAAAACCCCTACATTAAATAACATTTTAAAACCCAACAACATACTAGGATCTGCCAGTCTTGGTGATACATATACCTTTGCATTGTTACTTATTGTGGTAAAGTCTTTTATCACCCAATTGAGTGCTGTTTAGTTTCCTGGTGAATTCTGCCGCTTTTGGTATACTGTGATGCAGAAGTGAATCGGGGTTGTGTGAGGCAAGAATGAAATAGATGCTGCATGTTTTCCAAAGTTGAAAAATAGCAGAACTGAGCATGTACTGTGCACTGTTGATGTGTATTAATCAAATTCATCATGGTAAGAAACTGTCGCAGATGACAAACTGTTAAGTCAGATTTGTAGAAATGATCATGCAGAATTTGAGTTTCTATATGTTCATCATAGAAACAACTTCTAAATTGTTGAGGCTGGGATGTCTCAGAAGTGGATTTGCAGACTGTTGCTGTACTAAAACTTCGCTGGTTTTGGGGGGTTTTTTTGTGGGTTTTTTTTCTTTTTTTTTTGGTTCTTCAGCTTCTCCAGTGAAAAGTGAATGTTTTGCTTATAGATGACATGCATCTTAGTTAGAACACCATAGAGGTACCAGTGATAACTTTGTTTTCAGCACAGAACTAGATGCTATAGGTAGAAATGTCAAATTCTTTGAACGACATGCTTCTTACGGAAAGAAAGCTTGTGTGATACTGTAAAGACTGCCTGACATAGGTACAGCAGTGCGCTGCATCAGCATTCCTAATACTGGAATTTCTTAGCTTCAAAATTATTTATTTTTAAACATTTCTGCAAGATAGTTCTTTGAGACTCAGTATCTATACGTAAATGTCTGTCAGAAAAAGATAAGTAAGTTCACAGTTAATGGATTATTTTGTCTTTGACAGTGAAATTGATAAAAACATTGATTACATGTCTAACTTAAGGAGAGATAAATGGATGGTTGAAGGCAAACTTCGGAAGTAAGTTTCATTTCCTTAAGTATCACAGTATATTGATTTTTTGCATTTACTCAGATATGCTGCTATATAGGCAATTGGTTCTAGGGACGAAATCAGCTGATGCAATTACAGGTTTACCAAGAAGGTAAACTGAGCTGCTTAAGATGGATGTGGATTTAGAATGGTGCACCACCGGTCTTTTACAGTCTATTAAAAATGCATGAAATTCAGAGGATTAGTGTCCCTTAAAATTGGAGAAAAGTCAAGTCCATTTTGTATAGCTCTCCATATAATAGCTCTCAAATGGCTATTGATATTATCAGAGTTTATTTGGACCTACCGTAATTACCAGTGTTCATTCTGAAGGTATTTTAAGAAGACACAATTTTCATACGATTACCAATCGAATTTTGCTAATTTATATTATGATATCTTAGTGTTTCCCTTCTGGCAGTGTTGTGTTCCCTATAGCTAGGGATCATATGTAGAATACAAACTTTGAGACATTTTTAATATTTTTATTAAAGGTAAAATTGGAACTTTTTAAGGGTTGTCAGTTTCATATCCACTGTTCTCCCATCCTACAAGACAAAATTCCATACAGCAAGCATAATGGCTCCAACTACTAGGAAGCTAGAAGGCATAATGTTAATGAATCACAGGGGGTAAAAATACATAGCCAGACTATACTTTCTTTTTTTTCTTAATCATCTTTACCTCTTACTAGGAACGGTGAATCCTTTCTTAGTACTTGCTTTAGGTACTTGTGTTTCTAATCTTATGTCTCCCTTTTTTCCCTTTAATGTATCTCAGAAGGAAGAAGGAAAGAAGTAAAGAAGGACGACAAGAGGGAGGTAGAGGAAAAAAATTAGACCAATAAAAATAAATTTTGTACTAATAATGCAGATCTCAGCCTGGACAGGGTTAACATATTTTATCTTTTAGGACAATCCAGATACCTTTTCCTGTCTTCATTGGTATCCCTTCTACAGGTTATAGTTTAAAAAGTGTTTCTGAAGTTCTGATGTAGTCACCTGTCCATTAGTGGAATGGGACCCTTACCTGTCCTTGTCTCCTTAGGAGCTACATAGTCTTTCTCTCTCCCTCCATCAAACTGTAAGTACTTATAGATGTAGGATCCTCCCTTTTCCTCATGATCTCTATTTTGTTCCCTTTCAAATAGTGGACATAATACCCTGAAGTCCCAAGCTCCTCTTCCTTTCTACAGTCATTTCTCTATTTCTCATATTTTCCCCTCGTGTGGATATCAGATTCCAGTAGTGCTGTCCCTATTTTCAAGCGTAAGTATCACGAGAGTGCTCAGAAACGTTGTTCTTCATCTTCTTTGGATTCACTGGACTTGATTGATCTGTCTCATCTTTGCTTCAAAATCTTCGGATTTTTCATTGTTTTTCTGATGAACTCCAGGAAGCTTTTTAGAAGAGCTTTATTTGATCAATTTTAAACAGTATTTTCTTCTTTATTATGTCAGTTGGTGGTTTTCATAAACTCTTGCAACTGTTCTGGGCCTTCTCTGAAAAGAAATCTGTCCATTTCAGTTTTCTGTTTGGCCTTTTTTTCTGCTTCCAGACTTCATTCTTATGCATGTTATCTTCCCCATCCATTTCAAAGCTCAGTCTAGTTTTTAAGCATCCCAGTCCCAAACAGTTGTGCATAGGAGTATCTAGTTTCTTGACTACTCAGCACGTAATCAGTGGATATGTACACAAACCTTTACATGACCCTCGACACAAGCCCGTGTGTGGGATATGGATAGTGGTAGAAGAATGGATACTGAGAAATGAGTTTATTTCAAAAAAACCAAACCTGGTTTTCCAGTGTTTATGGTGGTAAATCTTCATACCACTATGTCCAGACTGTCCTGAAGTGTATCCAAGTGGGATGTGGAAAGACTCTACTTGTATCAGACGTTTTCACTACATGATTTTTTTTTTTTTGCTTATGTTCTAACTTTTTGTGAGATTAGCTCCTCAACTGGATATTAGGGGCAGGATAAGGGGGAGGTTAAAAAAGAATATGAAAACTTGTGTTTGTAAGATAAAAAAACCATTCAAGTCACAGGTTTCAAAAAAGGGATAATTGTATAAATGCCTATAGGGGATGCTTTTTTTTTTTCCCCAACCCCCCTTTTTTTTTCCTTCCTTCCCCTCTTAAGGATATTGAAGAAAATTTCTTGATAAGTATAATATATGTGGTTGGAAACTGAATTCTGAGCTGCCTGGACTGTTTCTGCTGGGCTGATGGTCAGTGAGAGGTTGTATCTAATTCCTTCTCTGTCAGATTTAGGTGTCATTCTTCATATAATCACCATATTTTAAAGGCACCTGTCTCATACAATCAATTCATCTTTATTTGTGCTTTTTGTATCACAACTATAGTCAGAAGACTGTCTCACCTGAGACGATTCCACTATTTTTTAACTAGATAATCATAGTCTCAGTGTCTCCTTTTCCATTTCACGTCTTTGCTTTGGCATCTCTTTTGTAGCTTGATCAATATAAAGGGGAATAAAAATGAAATATAGCTCCTTGAAGGATTAGGTAATACCTCTTTCTTTACAAGACTTGAAATACTGCAGAACAAGGTTTTTCACTACAAAAATGCTCTTTTTAACATGCCAGTATTATGGCATACTCCTTGTGAGTTAATTTCTTTCCAATGAGACCATCTCAAGTGTAAATTATGATGGTATATCAGAAGCATGTTACATGAGGGGAGAAATTACACCCTGAGTTTGGGTAGGAGGTGATAATGCTGATTTGGGAAACTTCCATTTTTTGAGACCCAAGCTTTGAAGTATGTTAAAAGTGCGATGCTTAGAATTCCTTTGCCTTGCTCTACTACTTAATATTCATGTGTAAAAATTATGATTAAGGCATGAAAATTAAGTCAAAAGGTGGATTTTCCTTCTATGATCTAGTAAACATTACAAATTAGGTTAGAGCAGGCTTAAGTCACACATCTGTTTTTCTGATGGGCCACCTGCTCTTTTTATAGGCTAGTAGATATTATAATTCTCTCAGCAGTTGCAAATGTCATTTTGGTATATACTTGAAAGTGAGAAAGATGAAACAGTTTTCTGAGTGAAGGTTTTCTTCTCTCAGTGAGCCATGTGTCTAGGTAGGAGCAGAAAATTATGCTACCTCTTGAAATACCTGAACATTTTTTAAGTTGTGCTCTCATTGGTTTCTCCCTGTACACTACTCCAGGTACAGACTGCTGCCACCTTATTCTTATGGTGCTACTGAAAGAGAGCAGCTTTGATTCATTTCCATCCTTAAAATTTATAGTGTTATTCAGGCTTCCTTTAGTGCTTGACATCTTTATATCTATATTTTTGCTTTCAGCAAAAGTAGCCTCTTTTGCTTCTTTTCGTTTCTTTTAGGTATATGAAAGAGGTGTTTGCTAGTTGTTGAACTTCCACCTGACAGCTTTATTACTGAATTGTCTTAAATAGTATCTTAGTCTAATTTGTCTCTAAAACTGCCTAGTCATGCAGCAGTCAATGCAATCATTGACTTGTGGCTTTGATAGTTATTTCCTGTGTATAAGCAGGAATTTGCAGTCCAGATGAAGAGGATTTGATGGTTTGAAGTTACCCTCGTAAAAAGGAATGTTTTTTCTAAAAACCTTAAACTCACTGGAAGCCTGAGTAATATTGATACTCAGTGAGACTCCAGCTTTTTGCACCAGACCTTGAAAGGGTTACTTGCTTCCAAATTCACTGGTAGGCTTGAGAGATCTTTTTTATCAAAAAATAACGTTAAATTGCTAAATAGCTAAAAATCCATTTGTATTAGAAAAATAAAACTGTAAAACTTTCTAAATTCTCCAGTGGATTAACCACTGCATTAAAAAACTACCACCAACAAAATAACAACAACAAAAACCACCAGACACAAAAAGAACCAAAGCCCAACTGCTCTCAAGCAAACAGAAATCCCCGTTATGATTTCTTGCTAATGGTCTTTTTAAAAAGTGCTGCTACCAGTTGAGCAGTGAGAGGTTCATTTAAATCTGCTGCTGAGTACTGGCTTTGTTTATCAGCATTTTCAAAGGCTGGTACATTGATCAGTATGCCCAGAAGCCAGGACTTGTACAACACTCGTTGTACTTGTAGCCACTTGCTGTATGGAATATTGTTTTGTAGGATGGGAAGAGAGAGAAGTATGACAAGGAAAAATTACGTACTGGTAATTGTGTTTGTCATTACTGTTCTACTTTTCCCATCCTACCTTCTTCAGATCATCTCTTACAAAAATCTTTGTCTTTTCTACACGTGTTTATGAATCTCTTCTAAGTCAGTTGCAGTTTTGGTCTGCATTGTAAGTGACTGGTTAGGCCTGGCTATTTATACCTCCTGTGATTCAGCATGCTTGCCTGCTAGCTCCCTGATAGGTGAAACTATAATTTTTGCTGTGTGGAATCTTGTCTTATAGGGTTTTTATAGAAGAAGGAGGTCTACTACAACCATAATTACTGGTATGTAAGTTTCCCTTTTCTTTTATAAAAGGAAAAATGAGAGTTTGATTGGGTAATCTCCCGGTAGTTTAGGTAGCTAAGATTTCTCACAAAAAAAAGTAAGTCCTAGAATAAAAAGATCAGCCAAAGAACTAAAATCAAATAATAAATAATAAATAAAAAATGCATAAAAATCTGAGATGGATTTTTTTTTTTTTTTTTTTTTAAAACCAGCCTTGCTGTTGCCACACAAATGTAAATAATTTCATACTTCCCTGACACAGGTATTTTCTGATCATATTCTTAAATGCATAAAACAAAAGATAAAGAAGTTGATATGGATCATTCTTCTAATTGTCTTTCCTGACTTTTCAGAATCCCTCTTGTGTTTAATTTAATCTAAAGTTACACAATAAAATTCACCTGGGAAAAACAGAAATTCTGTTCAGAACTGAGTAGGAGGCTTAAGGTGTTTTATAACCTGACTTTTTTCTTATTGACTAATGACAATAATATTGCGAATGTCCTAGTGGAACAGAAGATCTAGTTTGAATCTACCATGTATGATTTACTTTCAATCACATAAGAAGAAAGGTATGTGTACAGTACAGACATACTCCTTAATTTCACCCCTTGTCATGTGTTTCAAGGCTTAGAATAATTCATGCCAAGAAAACTGGCAAAAGAGATGCTACCGGCGGTGGTGATGCAGGAGAGGAACAGCAGTCTTTGGAAACGTCAACACCAGGCCGCAAACGCAGGCGAAAGGGAGGGGACAGTGATTACGATGATGATGACGATGACGACAGTGATGATCAGGCAGATGAGGATGATGAGGATGAAGAGGACAAAGAAGATAAAAAAGGAAAGAAGGCAGAAGTTTGTGAGGATGAGGTAGGGGATTTTAAGTACAGTGAAACTTAATTAACTAATAAGTTGAATATTGTTTTCCTTCTCGTTTGTGAGGATGAGGTAGGGGATTTTAAGTATAGTGAAAATTAACTAATAAGTTGAAAATTGTTTTCCTTCTGTTTCTCTGCAACATGGCACTGCTTCCTCAAACTCTCACAATAAAAAGGAAGGAAGAATAACTTACCTCCAATGTTTTTGAAGTTTTGAATAAGTTTATTTTCAAGACTTTTTTTTTTTTCTTTTTTTCATAGCTATTATAGTATGGGTTGGTGGGGGGTTTTTTGGGTGGTTTTTGTTGGTTGGTTGGTGGGTTTGGATTTGTTGGTGGTTTTTTTCCTGCTTACTTGTTTTCACTTAGTCTTAATTTCTCTTAAATGCTGAAAGATTGTACCAGATCGAGAGAACTGCAGCTTTGTTAACAAATGAGTGTAACTGTAGTTTTCTCTTAGAGGAGAATAAAGGTAGTTTATTGCTTAACAAAATAATAAAGAAGTGTAAAGTTATATTTGACATTATCTATTATAAAACTTGCCTGTGACCTTCCTGTGTATTTTTTTTCATAACTTTTATAGGGTAGTCACTGCCTGACTCTATTTGATCACAACAACATGTTAAATTTTACTAGGCAATATCAGATAAAATACAACGAGTATCACTGAAACTTTTTTAGTTTGTTAAGCTGGATTGTATCTACAATAGTCAAAAGATATTTTAATTAAAGTGCCACAGACCTGTAAGATTCACTGTAGAACTCTAGAATTCTCTGCTGGATGAAACCTGATAAAAGACACAAGCAATACTGACTACTACATTTTAGTGTACTGGGTATTGCACAGTTTTCCAGAAAACTATCCATTTATACAAGGTTATCAAAATTCAAAGTAAGGTTTTATGGATACTGTGGATATAGCCACTTGAGCAGTTAATGTATACAACATGATATGTGAACTCAAATCTTTGCAAACAGTCTTTCATTAGAAACCCATCTAGTTTCTAGTGTAGGAACAGCCCTTTGTGCTGTTATTCTGGATTTATTTCAAGTACCATAATGTGTATGAATTTAAGAGAATACCTGAGAGGCATAGCACAAAGTTCTGAGAAATTAATACTTCAGAATTAAAGATTAGTAATATTTAGGTATCTAACCTCACATCCATTCATTAATATTTTTTCCTTTTGTACACTTTCCTATTTCAGTGCACAGGGCATTTCATAGATAAAAGTCTTGTAACTCCTGTAAGAGAGATACATTTTCTGATATAACCGGAGTTCCATTGCATTCATTCTATATGTGGTATTTCAGAAGGCTTTACTCTGGTACACTTTTACAAAACCAAGAAATTCAAGGCCAGTATCTTATGGTGCAAGTGATTGGGAGCTCCTAGGATTTTGGTTGTATTTTGAAACTTATCCCCAAAGACTTTCTTGAAATAAAAACTCTCTTTATGGAATGACTATCATTATCAAGAGGGAAGTAACCATAGACTTAATCATAGGTGCATTCCTCTTAAAAAATCATCAAGATTAATAAGAGATTAAACTTTTTTAGCAGATTTGTAATATAAAGTGCTTTTACAATTTCTTGTAGATACTGAAATGAAATGCAAGTGTACACTGACCAAAGACTAACTGATAAGATTTTGACAGATTCAATAATTTCATGCATGAAAAAAACCTTAGAAATTAATTTGAATATCCAAAAAGCTTCATAGGAACTAGGATTAAATTCTGTAGTCTTCAGTATTCATGCACAAACTGAATTATTTCTTCCAGTAAAAGAATGTTTTCAGCGAACATTTGGCCACAAGCTTTCTCCTTCATGTGCACCTGGGGTGGTTTGGAAAGATTCAAGATCTGTCTTTTTCCAGTTATGTTGTTCCTAGTCAAATGTATTGAACAAGCACAAAATCTGAACTTTTTTACCCTTAGAATTTGCCTCTCACTTTCTGTTACAGCTTTTTACTGTAATATTAGTAAGGCACAGTAGTATGATTTTATCCTGAAATACATTTGGTGTAACAGTATATTTGGTCATTATAGGATGATGGTGACCAGACAGCAAGTGTTGAAGAACTAGAGAAGCAGATTGAAAAACTGACAAAGGTGAGAGGTTTTTTGTCTTTGATATACTACACATTTGATCACTGGATGTCATGAGTTACAATATTAACCATAATTTTCAATGCTCCAACTTAATATAAATTGAAATAAGAATCAGCTTTTGTTCATGAAAATATGAATGATGCTACTGTTCATGACGCCCGAGTCGTGAGTTTAGTCTAGCGGCACTAAGTGGATATGACTCAAAAGACAGTTAGAAAGCTGTTGATAATATATTCGCATATCTTGGAATAAAAAATAATACAATTTTTATCCAGACCTAATTGATACACTTCTGTTTGTTGATCTTGGAAAGTGATGAGAATATTTGTGTGTGAGAAGCAATGAGTTTTCCGTTATACAAATTATTGTAGTTCTCGTTCCCCCCTAGAGTTAGCTAATTTCTGCAGCTGTGTTCCAAGCGATACAGAGAGCTGTCTTTGCTTCAGATTTTGAAAGAGGAAACAATGGAGTAGGAAGAGAAATGTAAATGAGAAAGATAGAATTCTGTAGATAGGGGTACTCATTTCCCATGGTTTTGTTCTTCATATTAAAAAATCTGTCATTTAAGACTTTGTCGCTTGGTTTCTTTCATGTTCCAAACTGCAGTAAATCAGCAGTTCAGAATTACACCTGAATTCCAGCAGTGTTAATCTAGCAGAGCAGAATTGAATAAACAAACTGAAATCCTTGTTGGCCCCCATCAGAGAACTGTTTGTGTTTGCATATAGAATTTTAATTTTCAGACATTATTGTTCTCATTCTTTTATGAACTGGTTAAAATATCTCAACAGTGTTCCATCAGGAGCTGCAGTATCAACTATCTTCAGTGCTCTTGTTTACCATTTGCTGCTGTTGTATAATTGATAGGATGTCATCTTTTCTTGTGCAGTGAAATCTTTGATCATATTGTTCTATGACAGTTGGTGTTAAAAAGACAAGACCTACCATCTCAAAATATGTTTTTTAAGGAAGACTGATGAACTGAAGCTGAACCAGGAAGTGATTGAATTGCTTTTTTTTTTAAGGGAGCTCTGTAAGTAAAATCATCAAGGCACCAATTGCGAACAGAGTATCACATAGCACACAAACAAAATCTCTGAGAGAGCCTCCTCATGTGACCCTGGAACTTTTGTTCACTCTGGCAGCCAGGAGATGTTTTCTGTTATTAAAAAAACTTCCCCTCTTGAATTATAATGCTTTCTCCTTTTTAAAACAGCAACAAAGCCAGTACAGAAAGAAGTTATTTGAAGCATCACACTGTTTGCGTTCAATGATGTTTGGTCAAGATCGTTACAGGCGCCGATACTGGATTCTGCCTCAGTGTGGTGGTATTTTTGTAGAAGGCATGGAAAGTGGTGAAGGTAAGAAGCGTAAAGGAATAATATCACACCAAGGCACGCTATGCCAAGACATACTGCCCATCTCTGTAGGCTGTAATTTTGCACAGCAAGGTCTTTAGGCTTCACCTGCAACCAGAGGCTAAACAGGCTACCGTCAGTAGACTTTTCTATTCATATGGTGCTCTCTGATACTGTCTTTCTGAATGTGAAATATCAATTGATATATTTCTAAATGAAGGTTAATATTTTGGAAGTTGGTATAGTTTTATATGTTATACTTTTTCACTATTCTGTGCTTGAAGATTTCACATGCCTGCAAAAATATGAAAATTATTTTCACACAGGGAAGTATTGTTTTTTCTAATCAACAGCATGATTTAGTCTTTATATTTTACCACTGCTCTTTTCTCCCTTCCAGCAAATGCTGATGTTATTTTTGCTTAAATTAAAATGTAATTTTGTGGTTCTGACAGTTCTTTACTAACTGTGATTGAATTTTTCACACACTTTAAATTTGATAGATGCAGAAAATACGTGATAATTTGACCTTTTTGTGGATATTAGAATTTTTAAACATAAGACTTCATTTTGGTCACAGAAAAATACTTTCTAATTCTTACATACGTGAAGCAAAATCCCATTACTCACAATTTTCCCCCCAAAAAATAACAACAACATAAAAAAGAATTCTGATAGACATCAGAATTGCATGATCTCATGAGAATTGCATCATTCTTTAGAGCTATTTAATTAAAATAACTGTGACATTACAGCATGGTATGAAATCTGAGCCCTGTTTTGGTCCCAAAAATAAGCTGTAGAACTTTTCCTAAATCTCATCTTGATCTTTCTAAAGTGAGTAATTTTTCTCTGTCTCCTGTTCTGCATTATTTTATGCTGTGTGTTAGGAACTCACACATGTTTGCACATGAGTAGCTGGATACAGAAGGTAAACTGTCATATTTTATTTATTATATTTTAACCAGATTAATCCCCAAATGCTTTGGAAATTGTACACAAAGAAAATCATTAAAATACACCGACCTGTCTTAAGATAGTGAAAACAAACAAATAAAAAAACATACAAAAGTTTTAGCCAAGAACTGTAGGGCAAACCCATATTTCTTAATATATTGTCTTAATGAAAGTTTAGTCTCCCCGAATAACAAAATGGATATGTTTTCAAGTTCTGAACTACTCCCTCTTCCCCTCAGCTCTTAATTTGCCCTGTCTCAGTAAATTCTACAGTTTATCCACTCCTAATTCCTTTGTCTAAACATTGGAAATCTGATATATAAACTATTGAATAGTCTGTCCATTTAAAAAATACTTCTCATTCTCTCATCATGTAGTCATTTGGCCTGATACTCAAAATTGTTTGTATCTTGATATACACTATAACTGTGGACACATTTTGAAGTTTTAATGGGAGGGCATATTCTTTTCTTTAGTAGATTATCTTTGTAGAAATTATGATTTTTCCAGAAAAAGGAAGTAAAGTTTTGTGGATGTTCTCGCCATAAACCATAATTATTAATTACTGAAAGAGGTAAAATATTTAATGTTGTGTTTCAGTATTTGGGGAGTATTTGATTTCACAACAGGAATTCTGGTCCTCCTTTTCGCAGTTGGCTGAGAGTTTAATGATACGATCCTTTACAAAAATAGGCTTTAAAGCTATATATAAACATTGTACCATCTTGATGTGAACAGAGGAGTTTTTTGATAAAGCGCGGAGAGTCTTGCAAAAAGAAAGCTGCCAAAAAATTACCCCTTTCAGACTTCACACTGACAAACTGCTTCAGACATATATGCATCTTAAGGGAGAATACTAGAGCTATGTTAACTGCAATGAGTTTCTTTTTCCTTCACATGTTTAGCAGGATTTAGATCTCTGTGTGCCTTAAAAGCTTGTATCCTTCTGCACAGTGTTCTGTAAAGTGAGAAGTTATTTCATTTGAAAAATTAAAAAAAAAAGAAAAGAACCCCAACACTGTGATCTAGCATATGTTGAACCAAAAATTAAGTAATTTTTAGTTTAGCTATTTTAAGTGGTCTAAAATAGTTGGTCTGTTGCATTTCATTTGTTTCTTGTACATTTTTAGGCCTAGAAGAAATTGTAAAAGAAAAAGAGAAGTTAAAAAAGGTAGAAAGCATACATATCAAAGAAGAAGAATTTGAGACAGAAGAAAAATTACACTGTTTAAATACTACTTACTGTGAGCAAAAGGAAGATCTGAAAGAAAAGGACAACACTAATTTGTTTTTACAAAAACCTGGGTCATTTTCAAAACTAAGCAAACTGTTAGAGGTAGCAAAAATGCCACCGGAATCTGACATTTTGTCCCCAAAACCTAATGGCAGTGCAGCAAATGGCTGCACCTCATCTTATCCAGCTAACTCAAAAAACTCTGTCTACAGTCTTCAGCCAACTGTATCACAAGGCACCACTGAGAAGTCTGATTCTAATAATGTTTTCAGTCCTAATGCAAGTGGGACAGGAAAGTTTTACAGCTCTCCACTAATTCCAAATGATCAGTTGTTGAAGACTCTTACTGAAAAAAGCAAACAGTGGTTCAGCCTTTTACCAAGAACACCCTGTGATGACATGTCAGTTACCCATATAGATGCACCAGCTACTACAGCTTCACTTACTCCTCAGTCACATCCACCATCAAAGTCACCTTCACCTGTTCCATCACCTCTTCTGAGCTCAACCTCTGCACAGAGCCCAGTGGGATTAAGTCCTTTTGCACTGTCACCACTGCAGGTAAAAAAATAATTTTTTGAATAGTCTGAATTGGTTGTGCTTATTTGAGCAAAATTTCTGCTTAGACAAATTGTTTCACAGAAGTGCTATCATTGTATCTTCATTTTCTTAATTTCTTTTTTCCCCCCTCTATTTCTAAATATTAATATCTAATTCCATGTTACAATGTTTTATAATACTAGAAGGTTTTTTAATTAAAAAAAAATAGGATATGTAAAATTAGGTAAGCCAAAGTATGATATTTTGTATGTATATTTCAGTAATTTAATTTGACTTTTAGAAGGTTGGCCACTGGTATTAAATGGAAAGCAAATAAATAAATAAAAACTATTTTTCAGAAATGTGACACAGCACACCCTCCCTTTTAAAACTATTATTTTTTAAGCATTAACAGGGCCCTAATGAGGAGTATTACGCATTAGTGTTACATTAGTTTTCTTAAACTAATCAACCTACTTAGTAAAGGCCTCCTTTATGTTTTGATTATTGTTTGCCAAATAGCATCCTAATCATAATTCAAGTTTCTTGATAATAATTAATAATAGTAGTTGTGATTGTGTTAACAATATATTTTGTGTAGCAGATGAAGACAGGACTACCTATAATGGGACTTCAGTTTTGTGGATGGCCTACGGGAGTTCTTACTTCAAATGTTCCATTTTCATCTCCTTTACCTGCTCTTGGATCAGGATTGGGATTATCAGAAGTGAATGGTAACTCATTCTTGGCATCTAGTGTTCCTGCAAGTAAAAGTGAATCACCAGCACTACAGACTGAAAAAATAGCCTCTGTGTCTTCTGCCACAGTTGAAGTAGCCAAGCCAGTAGATTATCCTCACCCAAAACCTATACCAGAAGGTAAGTATAATGCAACAGTAAAATGGAACTATGGGAAGCGTAATTTCTACAGTGCCAGTACAATGCTGCAACTTACTTTTATTTTTTTTAATTGGCCTATTGAATTTGGCTAGATGATTTCCCTAATTGATTGTGTGTGATCACATTGAAAAATGCCTGCAAAGTGTTGATATGCTTGTCTTGATTTAGAAATGCAGTACGGGTGGTGGAGGATTACTGATCCGGAGGACCTAAAATCTTTGCTTAAAGTGCTCCATCTCAGGGGAATCAGAGAAAAGGCCTTACAAAAGCAAATACAGAAACACATGGACTATATCACTCTGGCCTGCATCAAAAATAAGGATGGTATGTAATTGATATTTGTGTTACACATGGTGTTGGGGCATAGAGCTCTTTGAGATGTGTTTAGATACAGAGTTAGAGTAGCGTCTGGAGAAAAAAGGTAAAGTTGTCATTGTCTGTAGTTGCCTTTTCACCAGCCTTTTTCTTATCCAAGTTACAGGAAAGTTACAGGATTGGAGAAATCCTGTTTAATATAAATTGCTCTAGTGGCATAAGTGGTGTAACCTTTTTAAGCTCTTACCATCTCTGTAACACTCTTGCTTGGCCTCTCCTTCCCCTTCTTGCCTTTAAATTGCAAGTTTGAAAACCTACAGAATTTGTTGACCATACTTGGGTATCTTAAGAGTAGTACATTATTATAACAGTTACTCAACATTTGACTGGAGTGACAGGTAAATCAGATTGAATTTCCTCAGAGAAATTATGATACTAATTAAAATAATAAAAATGTGATTCTCAAATACAGTTGCCATTATTGATATCAATGAAAGTGAAGATAACCAGGTAACTCGAGATGTTGTGGAAAACTGGTCAGTAGAAGAACAAGCAATGGAGATGGATCTTGCTATTCTTCAGCAGGTGGAAGATCTAGAGAGGAGAGTTGCATCAGCTAGTTTACAAGTTAAGGTAAAACCAACTTTTAGTAAAATGTCTCTTTAAAATAAGCGGTAAGAATTTAAAGTGAATAGTAGCAGTCCTTCTGCTGTTGGTAAGTGCCTTCTTATTCCATCTCTAATTATCTGCAAATAAAACAAATTTACTGCAGCAGCATCATGGGTATTTGTGTTTGAAACATTTTATTGCAGTTAAATCTTCAGATGAAGATGCTCAGAACCGCAGTTCCTGGAGAGCGTTCTTGTATAGTGTGCAGTTCCCTGCACGTTTTGTTAACCTTCTATGAGTGCAAAGATTTTATTGCATATAGACTGCTTAATTATAGTGGGTTTTGCCACAGTTCTGTCTGGTTTGGGTGATTGTTGCTGTTAATGCTTTCAAAAAAGCCTACAAGTGGCTTAAGTATTGTTGATTCATGGAGAACGTAGAATCATAGAATGTGACAGCTGTGAGTGTGAAAGAGTTAAGAATTCACTGGCTGCCATCACAGTTTGGGATTTTTCCAAGGTGGGTGTAAGGATATCAAAGTTTGTATGTTTGGCTATAGTACAGATGTCATATTTGGGGTCTAGTTTGTTCTAGGGGTGGATGTTATTTCTGTGTGACCAGTTGATACTGTCTCCTGAGCCTGTTGGACAGATAGACCTGTTCTGATGTTTCGACCAATAGGACAGCATACTTCAAAAGGAAATAAGACTGTTGCAGAAAGGTTCCTTCAGAAAGTCTGGTAATGCTTGTATTTTTTGATTAATTTATTTTAGTTCTCTGGATATTTTGGCAACTGTCTCTACAGCTGGATTACAAGTAACCAAGATCTACTGGAAACAGCGCTTCAGTTACTTAGTTTGATTCCATAAAACAGTTCCTCTGTTTACACACTAACTTAACACCAACCAATAAATGCACAAACCTTTCTATTAACATAGGGTTGGCTGTGTCCTGAACCTGCATCAGAGAGAGACGACTTGGTATATCGTGAACATAAGTCAATTACTAGATTGCACAAGAAGCACGATGGAGATTGTGCTGGAGGCGGAGAAGGCAATACCAGCTCTCTAGAGCGGAAGAGTGACAACCCTCTAGATATAGCTGTAACCAGGCTTGCTGACTTGGAGCGGAACATAGAGCGAAGGTATCTGAAGAGCCCCTTAAGTACCACCATTCAGATCAAACTGGATAATGTGGGCACAGTTACTGTCCCTGCTCCTGCACCATCCATTAGTGGTGATGGTGACGGGTAGGTTATTGAGATTAACTTGAAAAATTATTGTGCTTCTTTGCTAATTGGAGCCTATTTTCTTATTGCCTGTTATCTATGTACTTTCTTGTATGTCTGTGATCCGTATGGATCATGTTATTCTGCATGATGCTTTGTAAAGATATTTTTCGTTACGTTTGTTGATAATCTTGCAAAGTTATCTTACATTTAACTGGTTGTGACTAAGCTTTGAGGCACGTAGCCACAGTCTGTGCACTACATGAAATTTAGTTGCTTAAACCTTATACTTATTGGCTGTGTACGTTTTGTCATTGCTTGGCTTTCAATGTGATAATGATTGTTCCACGTTTGAACATAAGCAAACATGGATGTGACCTACTTAATTTCTCTGTATTTCAATGCAGAACTGAAGAGGATATTGCTCCAGGGCTAAGGGTATGGAGAAGGGCATTGTCGGAAGCGCACAGTGCTGCACAGGTAGCTCTGTGCATTCAGCAGTTACAGAAATCAATAGCATGGGAAAAATCTATTATGAAAGTTGTAAGTGTTTTTAATTTTTTTTTTTAAATACTGTAACTAAACTATTTTTGCTGTATCCTATTTTCCCACTTTAGGCGTTTGAAGATACCGTGGTTAATAATGCATTTCTTATCACTGCGTGTAAATACAGTTAAACTCTACACTGTGCACAGATAATACAAGCCTAAGGGAAAATAATTTCCCTTGTTTGTCAACTTCAGCATCCTGAAGGTCCCAAGATAAAAAGCCCCTGTAACTGGTTGCTTTTTTTGGTAATTACTTGTTGTTAACATTTAGGCAAAAAAGAGTCATTTCTGGCTCCACCTGATGGAAGGTACACTGATGAAATATTTCTGATCTCATCCGAGACATAAACTTTATGGAGGTTCAGAATCACGTATCCCAATTAAGGGCTTAATTTTTTGGAAAGCTGAGATGCTCCAAATGTGTGCCTTCTTTGCATGCACACTTCTCACATCTGAACATACAAGTTGGGCGAGTGTATGAGCAAATAGGCTGAAATACCTGTTTCCTTATACACTTCAGTAAATTTGTTAACTGCATATGCAAAGAAGGCATGCAAAATATATGTGTCAAAATTTGCATAGACCTTTGAACCTTAAATTTCTAAAAACAAAACTATTACTACAGTAACAATGATTATGATGTTATTAATTATGGCCAGTGCTATGTATATGTAGCGAGTGGCAAAAGTGATTGTTCCATTAGTGGTCTTTTCCCTAGTTTTTTAATTTCTACCAGTCCTATACAGATTCTAATTACAACTGGAAAACTAAAAGATGATTTAAATAAAAACTATTTAAATGTAAGGCTGTACCTTTGAATTGATATAGCTGTACGTTTAAAGCTGTATCTTTAGAGGAAAAAGCTTATTAATTTAAGAGGAGCACCTGAAAAGGCATTGGAATGTTTCAAGGTGTAGTAAATTATCCAGAAAAAATGTATAGTGTCATTCTCAATTTGATTTGAAATGTTCTATACCTTTAATTTCACATTAAATGTACTTGGCGAAAACATGTGGAGATCTTTAAGCTCCTGAAAAAGAAGTCCAGATATAGAAGAGTATCAAAATCACACAATGTACGTAAGAAAATGGACAATACATTAAATACTTTCAAGTTAGTGCAAATTTTAGGAAATGCTAGGATCGTTTGTTTTGCCTTATTGAATTTGTTCACGGTGGCCTCTGGATAAGATCCTTACTGATTTTTATTTTAAAATACTGTCGTCAAATATAAATTATTTTTATGAAATAGCAACTTATACATGCAGTATGGGGATAAATGAACAGAAGATTCTTGAGATAGTATGTGTGGGCCAAGTGACTTTGATGGGTATAATAAGATACCCTTACTTTTCATGGACATTAATGAAATATAAAAAGTATTCATAGTTTTGTGTGCTGTAGGACACCCGTGTTACAATGAACTGTATTTCAAATGTGTTCCCAAATGTAGCCTTTAAATTAGTTCCTCACTTACTGCATATATTCTTTTACAAAAGACTCTGATTGTAGTAAAATGAAAGGGAAATAATTTTGAGAGTGAATTTGTATGTTTGGAGGGGAAGGGTAATTTAGGTACTGTTCCTGTGTTTTAAATTTTAAAAACTGAATTAACGCCATTTTTTTTGTGTGTATTATAGTACTGCCAAATTTGTCGAAAGGGAGATAATGAGGAACTGCTGCTCCTTTGTGATGGTTGCGATAAAGGCTGTCATACCTACTGCCACAGACCCAAGATCACTACCATACCTGATGGTGACTGGTTTTGTCCTGCCTGCATAGCAAAGGTAACACTACCCATAAAGGTGAAGTAACTTACAGTGACCTTTCTATAGATGGTAGAGTTACAGACCTACCAGTGATTTTTTCAGTAAAAATAATGGTCCTTATGTTTTATGTTGGGCTACCATTAAATAATGAGATTAATTGTTTTATTTAACTTGGATGCTCCAGCACCCTCACAGTAAAGAAGTTTTTCCTCATCCTCAGATGGAACCTCCTGTGTTCCATTTTGTGCCAGTTGCCCCTTGTCCTGTTGCTGGCCACCAGTGAAGAGAGTCTGGCCCCATCCTCTCAACACCCGCCCTTTAGGTATTGATCAGCACTGATGAGATCCCATCAGTTTGCTCTTCTCCAGGCTGAACAGACCCAGCTCCCTCAGTGTTTCCTCATCAGAGAGATGCTCCAGTCCCCTTGTCATCTTCATTGCCCTCTGCTGGACTCTCTCCAGTAGGTCCCGGTCTTTCTTGAACTGGGGAGACCAGAACTGGACATAGTACTTCAGATGTGGCCTCAACAGGGCACAGTAGAGAGGGAGAACTTCCCTTGACCTGCTGGCCACACTCTTCTGAATGCACCCCAGGAGACCATTGGCCTTCTTGTCCATGAAGGCCCACAGCTGATTCATGGTTAACTTCCTGTTCACCAGGTCTCCCAGGCCCTTCTCCAGCAGGTCAACCCCCAACCTGTCCTGGTGCCTGAGGTTATTCCTCCCCAGGTGCAGGACTCTATGCTTGCCTTTTTTGAATTTCATCAGTTTCCTCTCCACCCAGCTCTCCAGCCTGTCCAGGTCTCGTTGAATGGCAGCACAGCCTTCTGGTGTGTCAGCCACTCTTCCCAGCTTTGTATTGTACTCAGAAGTTGTGGGACAGTATTTGGCTGATCTCAG